TAATTGTTCCTCTATAAACTAAACACACTGCATTTATTGTACAGAAATGCCATCTTTAAATGTTGAACTCTAAACAAACCATCTTACCTTTTAGAGGCAGAACCAAATATGGGATAGACTGTTGCGGGCTCTGGAGGAAAAAAAAACAAAACTTCAACATTAACAAATGGAAGCACGACTGAGTAAAACTGAACATCTCCAGGATTTATTTATGCCACTCTATGCCTGAGTTGAGGGATCTAATAAAGTATTTGCTCACCTTTGGGAGAGCTGGAGTTAGTGCTGGTGGGGCTTATGTAACTCAGCTCAAAGGCTGGCTCAGAGCCACCTTCTGTTGTAGGAGTATGCTGAAAACATCAATTCAAGTTAACAGTCATTAAAAATTTTAAGTGATCATGAGTCAGCTACAAAAACAAAACAACAACAACAACAACAACAACAACAACAACATTTTGCCACGGTGAAGGTGCAGGATCATCTCTGGGGCGGAAATAATATCTACTCTGGGATAAGTACCTCTGAGCCACCCTGGGAAATTCCTAGTTGGTTAAACTCAGAAGACAAACCTGACAACCCAGCAGAAACCACATAAACAGTAGCAGAACAAATGGAAAAAGAGCTAAAACATCAAAGGCAGAAATGTAACCATCACAAGCGGGTTTTTTTAAGTCCTGACAGATTTTGCATCACATAGAGAATGAGCAAGGAAGGGATCGGTGTTTGCATAAACAAAAGGGGGAAATCAGAGAAAATTTCTGATTGTTTTACAATTACATTATAAAAACGGCCAAAAACAGATGCCATTCATAACTAAAGAGGAGTTTCATCCTCTTAATTTCGGTAAAGGCATGTTACAGTTTCAGCGTCTGCTGGAGTCTTGACATTTTGAGTGACACTACACAGCAACACACTGGCCCTCAGGCAAGCCTCATAGAAGGATAACAGGAGCGACTACTCGTTTTAGTGTCTGCAAGCAGGTGTAATACTCTCACAGCACTTTTAATGCTCAGTAGTAGTAGAAAAACTATCAAAGTACCATTTACATTATAAACAACAGCCATTTGGACACCCATGTACCTGACTGGTGGAGGAGGAGGCTGGTGATGTGGAGCTGTGTTGTGTTGGAGATCTCAACAACGTAACCATGAGCTCGTGAGTAATCCCGTGTTTATCCAGCACAATTTTAGAGGAGCTGAGGAAGGAAGACGATTAACAGTTTATCAATGAACATCAGTCTTGGGGCATTGATGAAGTGCAAATATTAGAGATCTGTGTTGGAAATTCAGATTGTTAAATATGCCATGAATTAAAAAATAAATAAATGAATTATAAGGGAAGTTTCATTTCTAAAACGAAAAATGAAGTCAATGGTGGGTTTAATACATCAGTACCTTGATGGCTGTGGAGTTGCAGGCTCTTCATTAACGGAGTCCATCCAGTCTGTTGGATCAAACTTCATTCTCTGTTTTGTGCTTGGTTTGTTCTCATACGTCCTCAGCGGCTTGACGGCAGTCTGCAGGAAACAACCAGGATTAAATATTACCATTAACATGACAATATTTGCCATGGAGGGGAAAAACATAATTAATTTATTTAACATATCAAATGGCAGACACCATTGCATGGAAAAACCTTTAAAATCATCATTAACTTATTATCAGATGTAAAAAATGAACCCGTTTCCCATCACACTCCAACATCTACAAGATTTTTGTTTCATTTCACTGTACACCAAACTAGGCTGTAAGTATCCCTCTGAAACCTCAACATTCTCCATGACATCAAGCGACATTTTATTAATTGAAATTGTGCGCAAGAGCCTGAAGAAAGTTACTCTTTTCTTTAAGAGTCAAGGTAAAAGGTAAAGGTAAAAATTACTCCAGTGTAGTTTGTTTCTGGGATATAGAAACCTTTTCACGATTTTAAGAAAAGAGAATCTCAAGAGATGAGATATTCCAGTAATACGTAAATGTACACAAACCTTTTCAGGTTCTTTCTGCTGTTGGTTTTCTGCCAGAGCACCCTGCGGCTGCTTTGATTCTTTGCCCTTTGTCTGTGGTAGGACAGCTGCAGACGGCCTGGTTGAAGACTTTGGCGCAGTTTTCTTGTACATGGATGTAGGTTTCTTCCCTGTACCGAAGAAAGCAGCTCCAACAAATATCTTCGGCTTAGGCTTCAGGTTGCTGAATGTGATGGTGATTGCTTTCTTGGACTCTGTGGGATTGTTGCTAGGTGCAACGGTAGGAGGATGAGTCGGTTTAGCGACACTGCTGAATTAAATAGGGAGAATTAGAACAACCTTAAAAGACCAACTAAAACAACAGCTGTTTGAAGAAGGCTTCAGAAGTATCAACAGCTATGACAAACCTGCTGCTGGGTTTGGGTTGGGACAGCTTGATCCTCTTTATTGATGTTGAGTAGCTTTTGGTACCCATCTTCCCCCCTTTACTAGATCCTGCTACTTTTCTTGGCTTACTGCCTCCCTTAATGTTCTTTGTTGTCTTCTTTTCTGGCTTTTGGGTCACAGTAGGAGAGGGTGGAGCAGCTGGACAAGGCAGAGAGTCCTTCAGAGCTTTCCTCTCAAGTGGAGTGAGATAGACTGGATTCTTTTTGCCATAGAAGGAGCTCGTGACCAAGGAAGGTTTGAATGGAGATTTTTGGGGTGATCTAGCTGGAGAGCCTTTAAAAATAAATAAATTAAAAATAAAATATCATATAAATAGATAATAGATAAATAAATCCAAATTACTATAAATGTACGAGGAAAAACCATTGTTGTTTGCATTGTTGTTTGAACAATTAAAAATTACAAAAGCATTTCTATTGCAACAAAACATGTTTAGTCCATCCCACCTGCTGGTCTGCGATGAGATTTCTGTGGGGAGGTGTCCAGACGGCCAGCTGGCTTCTTCCTGGTAGGAGACTGCTGGGGCGTTCTTGGAGACCTCCTCTTCACAGGTGACAACTCCCGCCTCACCCCCTTCTTGGCTGGGTGCCTGATGTTTGAGAAACAAAACAGATGAGACAAGCGATGGGTGAATTGGCCAATAACTTGTAACTGGCACGTTTGAGCCCATAAACTTGTCAGGAAAGTGTTTACTGAGGTTACAGAGCAGGTGATACTACTGCCTGAAAACAGGCAGCTTTTAGGTTTGAACCTTTTGGTGAAATCAGGTTTTTCTGCATGTAGTTTTCATATTCTCCAGTTTCCTCCCACAATCCAATGATATGCATGTTCGGCTAACTGGTCATTCTAAACTGGCTGTAAATGCAGGACTATGTGGGGTTGTTATGAATCACCGTTAGCCATATGGCAACCTGTTGCAAGGTTACCCCCACTTCTCACTCAAGCCTGAGTTGTAAAAGCAATTTTGCCCCATTAGTGTCAGTCTCATTATAGCAGGAACCCAATTCTAAATTTGTTGTAGTATTAAACACGAGCTTCCATAATCTCTCGACTGTAGCACAACTGAGACTATTCTCTTACATCTGAGAGTATAAGTCCAACACAGAGTACATTTCAAGAGTAAATCAGCAAGCCAAACAGCATATACACAGCTTACCTATCAGAGTCCAGGGAGGACTGCTTTCTCTTTCTGGTTGTGGTGGGCATCATCTTCATACAAAGGTAATGAAATAAAATGAAAAAGAAAAGAAAAAGAAAGTTTAAGAATTTCAGCTTTGAAAAAAAGACCATCGATCTGAAAAGTCACTCCTAATACAAAAAAAATAAAATAATTTTTTAAAAATTCATAATCAACCTGGATGTAAAAGAAAATAAAGAGATGCTTTAATCTACATTAATTACTCAAAAATGAAGATGAATCAAAAGTAACACTGCATTTTATTTCAAAAAGAACCAAACGAGATCTGTTGCCTAGTAGAACACCAGCTGCAAATCAGCTGTACCATATTATTCATGCAGACATCTTTTTGCAAATCGTAGGATATCTGGGTCACAAATCCGCCGTTGAAAGTAATACTCACTGCAGAAGGGTCACTGACACAAATGCAGCTTCAAGATATATTTCATGTCCATGGCGTTAAATCAGGAGATTTTCTACAAGGGTCTGGTGTGACTGTGGCAGGTAAACAACAGCCCACGACCTATGAGTTTAATGATCAATTAGGATGCTGATTATGAATCTCGATATGAGACAGAGCCTAAAGGTCCCCTTACTGTCATTTCGTCAGTGAGGAAAAACGAATAATCTCGAAAGCAGCTTTAGCTCGACGGTACATGTTAGCTAACGACGCGGTCATTTAAGGGCACCAGACGGAGGCGAAGAGATAATTGGCGGGACTATTGGCTTATGCAAAGGCAGCACGGTCTCCATTACAAAACAACGGGCATTTTTCATTTCGATCACGAGTTGTGCACACTTCAACTGGATACGTGCATTTGTTTGTGATTTAAAAGGTGAATAAATTAAGCATTAAACATAAGCTAGTTCTGACTGCCTTGGAAACCTTTATTAGAGTGGCGGTACTTAAAACTAATGTACCCCAATTATGAGATAAAACACAAAAATACAACTCTTCGTTTTCCTTACCAAGTATGTTTCTCTTGAGCTACATAAACCAATAAATGTTTGTATATCTGTATATATATATTTGAGTCGCTGGCGGGTCTCCTACCTCTACGGCTCGCGCGCGTTTCTTCTTTGTGTTTTGAACAGCGCGCGCCAGTGTCGGAAAAAAAACCCTACACCGTAACAGGAAACGGAAACAGCTACCACACGGGAAACGTAGTAAAAGCGGAGAGAAACTTCTAGTTCTAGCCTTCAAAATAAAACATCTTCATGTAAGAAAAAAGCCACTCATAAAAATTATGAGATAAAATTCAATTTACTAATGGAAAAAATTCGATGAGGATTATATAAAACATAAATTAACTCAAAACGAATCAGCATTTATTAATTTTATCTATCGATGTAGACCTTCGGCTTTTGTTTTGAAGGTAAATTTCGCTGTTTCCTTTGCGCTACACGCTACTTTCCCTCAGTTAGGTAACAGCTTCCCAGGTCATTTTGTACACGCGAACGGCAGCAGGTCTTACTGCAGATGAAATTTGTCTTTCTTCACAGTCAGCGGTTTAGAGCCCAAAGTTAAAACACGCATTGTTCATCTTTTTAGTGGCGATTTTTAATCCACGTAAAATGGTGTTTTACTTCACAAGCGCCGGTAAGTTGAGCTGTCATTAGCTGTTAGCCTGGTTAGCTTCGCACTCCTTACAGCTGTTTAGTGTCTTTCACGAGTTTCGTGCCAGGTGATTTTGCAGTTTCACTCAGTAACGACCCACTTCCTGTCTAATTTTTAGTGGTGGGCCCTTCCTTCACGATCTACATGGGAAAAGACAAATATGAAAGTAAGAGAGCTGTCCTTTGATCGCGCACTCACGCCCTTCTCTACCTTCCTCCGATGTGTGCTATATCTGTTCATTCCTGTGTTACTTTGTTGCTTAAACACCGGTAATAAATCTCTTATTGAATCTTATCACCTTTTAACTCGAGGCTGTTTCATGCCTACAGATGAGGATCTTATCAAGTATGGATGGCCCGAAGATATCTGGTGAGATTCTTTATCTGAACTCTGAAATAACCTGAATTTTCTGCAGCTGGGATTTTTAAAGAAACTGAGATGAGCAATAAAAGTACGTGGTTCCTAGAATCATAGATAAATGTGTCTTAACACTAAGACACATTGATGATTATGGAATTAACTTTAAGCACCATTTGTAAGAATGTATTGAACGGTCGATGTAAACATTGAGTGAGTTTATAACAGTAGAAACATTAAAGTGGAGTCCGTTAATGTAGGCATGACAAATTCATGTTAGTTTACTTTTGTAATTTAGGGTTGAAATTTGAATAAAATGTTTTCCATGCCAAATATTCACATCCCAGAAAGTTGATTCTGGTCAGGTGGATGCAGCAATTTCAGTCAGTTTAGAGTTGGTCCTTTTCACATAAATAGCAGATGAACAAGAACGAGATTTCCATACTGTTGACCCGTAGGATGCTGGTGAAAACAGTACTTCTGCCAAAAACAGAGAAAGAGAGGATGAAGGCCTGATTGGCGGTAGGGAGACAGAATGTAGGAGTTTAGAGAGTAGAGGCTTTAAATGGAGGGACTAGACCGCGAGTGCGAGAACTTGATGGTTTGGACACGTACAGCAGGGGAAAGTGGAAATACTGAAATGCCAGAAGAGAGGAAGACCACACAGAAGGTTTATGGAGGCAGAGCATGCGATAGAGGCAGGTGATCTGCTGTGATGACCCCTGAAGTGAGAGCCAAACGATGAAGGGTTGAATTGAATTTTAAAAAAAAATGCACCAAGAATTATTTGCAATTATTCAGCATTTAAACAAGTGCTTTGGATTTTCTGTATTACCAATTTCCAGCGTTGGGCAAGCTACGTTGAAAAAGTAATTAATTATAGTTACTAGTTACTTCTTCAAGTAACCGAGTTAGTAACTGAGTTACAATATTCTAAAAGTGATTAATTACTTGAAAAGTAACTTTTGCGTTACTTTAAAAAAACGTTTAACCCTCTGGGGTCCAGGGTATAATTGGCCATTTTTAACTACTTTTGATTTTCCCTCCACATTTTCCCTTTACAAACTATTTACTTTGCCTTGTTTGGTATCATTCTTTTCAGCACAACCTCACGTGTCTGAATTTACAGTCATGTTTTCATTTTGACATACTGTATTAACACAATTGATCTAAAATCAGACAAAAAGCATAAAATCAGAGTAGAAAAAGTTATATTTTTACTGTAACAACCACAAACATGTTTAATGAATCATATTTCTTAACTTTAAATGCAAATATAAATTGTCAATTTTAAAATCCTATGCACAAGTTTTGCAAACAACAAAGTTATTTGCATCCATTTACCTTTTACCCCTTTTTTAAATAACCATTTCAAACTATTTACAGAACAATCAGCTGTTCTTCAATAAGATGCCACACAAATGATTTGTGCCACTCCAAAAAAATAATTTCTGTCCACTATAAAGGAGAACATCACGGCCTGATACCTGCAGGTCTGACAGCAGCAAGTGTATCACTCCTGTTTTTTTACATGGAGACAGCAGTCGCCTCATTGTTCTGACACACAACACAAAACTATCCACAACACTACACATTAACTACACAAGACAACACATTAACTACAAACTCTAAACACGCTAAACGTCACAAATCTCTCACATCTCAAAACTCTCTCTCTCTTTTTCTGCTCTCTCACTCTCTCGCCGTCACTCCTAAAACTTCCCCTGTTTTTTGTTGTGGTTTTTGTTACTCTCTGCTTATGCTGATGTCTGCATAAGCAGAGAGTGCTTGCTGCGCTGTCCTTAGACAGTAAACGTGACAAAACTATTCAGGAAAAAACACACCTATATATTGTTTATCATGACTCTGGTTTTACGTGGCCTATCAACACAGTTTAAAAACTTATATATATCACCTTGTTGCTTCGTCATCTTGAAGTGGTCATGTGATTGACTTACCACGACTACTTTATTCTTCCTCAGTCAAACAGCAGCACTCATGCGATTGTTTTGCCCCCTTAGCTCCAGGTGTTGTTCTAGACAGTGATCGTGATTACCGTCCGCGGGAGCGCGCAGCTGCTTAAAGCTGTAGCGTCCAGATTACTTACAGCTACTTCCGTGCAACTGATATAAGATGCAGTAAGCTGAACACAGCTTTAACCGTCTGTTTGTTGAAAATAGTAACGGACCGCATTTTCTTCTTAGTAACGGTAACGGCGTTGTAACGATAGGAATAGTAATTAGTTAGATTACTCGTTACTGAAAAAGTAACGCCGTTATTCCCATCACTGCTAATATTTCTCTCTTTAAAACCGATTCGTAGTTAAAAATAGATGACTTTCATTTTTTTATTAATATTTTTATTTCCATTTAACTATAATTGTAGATTCTTTTTAGAATTATTTGTTCCTTGCCTTTGAAATTAATAAATTTTTTCTTCTGTGTATAATTTGTTACAGTTTTTCTTGTTAAAGTTATACTTTATGGCATCCTGTCATTTAAACCTTCTCCTTTTCTTTACATCCAGGTTTCACGTGGACAAACTGTCCTCAGCTCATGTATATCTGAGAATGCCAAAGGTAAGCATAAGCTCGCCCAATGAGAATGACCCTGAAAAACAGACTTTTAAATAAGAGTTCACACTCCTGAGTTTTTTCTCGGAACTGGCAATTTATTAAGAATCTAATTCTCAGAATAACTGTCACTAAATATAACAGTCGGTTCTCTGTTTTTGGTTGTGTCAGCAACACTCCACATACAAATTCTATGGAAAATATTTGACAGTGATGTAACTATTATGTGATTAATTTCTAGGGTCAAACCATTGATGATATCCCACCAGAGGTGCTGATAGACTGCGCACAACTGGTGAAAAACAACAGCATCCAAGGTAAAAAGAAAATACTCAGGCTGGCCTGAGAGATCCTCTTGTACAAGTTTCTGTCTGCTGTTATTTTTACTGGGAGGAATTTTGTATGCAGATGTGGTTAAACTTGACGTGTTACATGTTTTCAGGCTGTAAGATGAACAACATCAATGTGGTTTACACAGCGTGGGCCAACCTGAAGAAAACAGGAGACATGGATGTTGGACAGATCGGCTTTTATCGACAGAAAGAGGTCAGCAGACCTGGCTTCATGTACGCTGATGGATTATTATGCAGCAATCGGTGTAATACTCTAACATTACATAGTATTTAGGCAATTTTATGTGTTCGCTAAACTGGCTTTGTGTTCACAGGTAAAGATCGTGGCAGTGGAGAAGAAGATCAACGAGATAATAAACCGTCTGGAGAAAACAAAAGTGGAACGGTTCCCTGATCTGGCAGCAGAGAAGGAATCGAGAGATCGGGAGGAGAGGAACGAGAAGAAAGCTCAGCTGCAGGAGCAGAAGAGGAGAGAGAAGGAGGAGCAGAAAAGGAAAAAAGAGCAGGAGGAGCTCAGGTAGAACAGTGTTTTAGAAATGTTTAATTATGGCTGCATGAATATCGCCAAAACGATCGCATTGATAAGTACGATGACATTTCAGTCTGCAGTAGCACTTATATTTCACAGGAGCCTCACAGCAGTTGATATAAGACACACCACTTTAAATCTACTGATTGGTTTTTGTCAAACTAAATTTCAGCTCTATATGTACTAAGTTGTGTCCATTTGCACAATATTAGTATTTTCCCCTTAAGAGTCAAAACTATGCTAACCAAGCCATAGCAGGTGATTCCTAAAGCACACACTTATTTACGCTTAACCTTATCTGTAACAGCAAAAACCCGACCACATGTACATTTTAGATATAAATACTTATAAAATAAAAATATGTCTCAAATAAAGTTTGGCCACTATGTGTGACACTCTTGCGTTTTGGTCACTGCAGGAACTACTCGTCACTGATGAGGACTGAAAACATGAAGACTAATGAGGTGAACACCAAGAGGCATTCTATTATTTGATGTCATATATATATATATATATAATTTGTTGTTTAAGGTGTTTTTTTTAGCGAAGCAGTAGATGATGAACAGTCTGTAACTTGTGCTTTACTGCCTGTACTCTGCAGGACGGCAACGATTCAGATGACTTCATGTGAGAGGAGACAACGAGGCAGCATCAGACAGACAGCCTGCTGTCCGGCTGCTTTAGCTTCCTGTAACAGACACTGAAAAGATTAAAAAAAACTCAGACAAACCTTTTTGGCTTTGGGACACTCGGAGCAGAAAGTGAGACAGCGAGGGATGGAGGCGCCAGGACTCGTGGTTCAGAAACTGCTTTCAGACCAAACCGAGCTGATTGACCTCCTTATCGCAGAGAGGACACGGTGGACGAGGAAGCACGGGGCACCAGGATCGATGAGGGTCATTTTAAGGGGGGAGACATGCTCAGATAGCAGAACATTATCTGATGGAATTTCACTGCCTGATGATGTTCATGCTCATGATGATAAAACTGTCTGTGTCTGCGTGGGTGCGTTTGGTTCATGTTGTTGCTCCCAGTCACAATATTTTTATTTCCCCGCATGACAGATTTTATTGAATGCAGATCAGTGTATGAATTAAAAATCACGTTTATTATGAAATCTTCTCCTCGTGTATTCAAAATAGGATCAGTCATTTCATTTAGTTTCAGCTCTGATGAAGATACGAAGAAAAAACGATATTAAATTTATAGTCTTCATTTACAAAAGTATAACATATGTTTTCTTATTTGCCATCATGACTCCTGATGTTTACAGACCAGTGCAAATATCTTTTAAACTTAAAATGGAGTTTTTGCACAACAATAGCCAGTAAATCATAACGACATGCTGCTTATTGTAATATAGAGTTATTACCTTCAGAGGCTATGAACCCACAGCCTTTAACACTCAGCCTTAATAAACACAAACACTGATCTCAGGCAAGCTGGATGCCTCATTAAAGGTCACATTTTATTCTACACTGGGAATCTTTTCAAGGTGCTTTTAAGTCATTACGCATTGTGATAAAGTGCATAAAGAGGTGTGTTTATTGTGCAGACTTACAAATTTCTCTGTTGCTGTTACGGAGAGCTTATGGTCATTTGGAAGATGATCCTCTGTGAGCAACACTCCCCCACCTTTACAACAGCTGTTTAGGACATATCACTATTTTTAGTTTTACAACCTGGTTTATGAGCTTTATTGGGCATTAAAAGGGTTCCTTATCACGCCAAAACACTGCCCAAACTAAAAGGAAGTAATGTATTAAAAGTAATATAAGTAATAACTAACCTGTTCGTATATCTGTATAGACCGGAACTGTGCTGTGGCAGCAAGAAGCTCATAACAACCTGGTAATTAATAAATAAGAAAAACACCTCTCTCTCCACTGTTTTGCGAAGTTGTTTTTGTTGTGTTGTGGATATTTCTCACGG